CTGTAACCTGGTCGGGCAGTAGTATTGCACACAGCGGTCAAAGGCTTCAGGTTCGGACCCTAAAGAGTTGAGAGGTGGGAACGGAATGAATACGTAGTTCTAAGGTCATGGTGATCTATGTATCAATTTGCACAAAACTAACCAAAAAAAGTTTTAATTCATCGAAATCATCGAACTATTTAAGTCTGTTCGCTTGGCTCAAGGCGAATTCGATAATTCTGTCCTATTGCTATTTATCAGTAGCCTGTGTAGTGTATTCCCATAAGGAAATATCTGGATTTAAGCTTCCATTATCTGAGATTGTAGTCGGTGTGCAAAGTAATTGATTCTGCTATGCTTTGTTTTTTATGAGAGTTGATAGAAGTATACTTAAAAGTAATCGTTTCTATTACTAATCTCTCTCTTCTTCTCTGCGGAGAACTCAGTCGAGGAACAGTCTAATTAAATGCGTTGAAGATAATTCCTTTTCCCCCTTTTTTCAGTTTTCTGTCGCCATCTTCACGTCTCTGTCAGTTCGATTACCTTCCTTTTTGGAGCCGAGAAACTAAAGAATTTAATGAATTTTTTAAAATTATTGTTTGTTGCTACAAACGATCATTTCAGGATGTAAATAATGGTGAGAGAGAAGAAGTCTTCAAATCTGTTAGGATTCTTTGCCGGTCAGCTTGGCGCAATACGTTTGGCCGTTTTCTGTCTAGTGCTCATTCTTATTCACTTCTTCTTCTACAGAGAACTTGTGAGTAAATTACTGTCTCGAATATGTTTTCTATTACTGTTTTCCATCTTCTTATTACATGGAAAACAGACGCTTTCACTTTGCTATGCTTCGAAAACGTTCAGTTATATGAGAGGAACGACTGCATTTGCTCGGATTCTTATGGTAACGAATTCGAAATCTGCTATAGATCCAAAGAAAATGCGTCGAGGATCGGACGAAAGTTCTCATGTGAACATCTGGGGCACTTATATCCGCTAGGTGAGTCGTAGGCAATTAGTTTGCGTTTTGAACTCGCTGGTTTCTTTTCTGATGATACGCCCACCGATAAAATGAAAGGTTTTCGTCAGGTGGCACAAATCTAGCAGTTATTGCTAGCCTTACCGTCTCGTATACACGTTTCAATACTTAGTTCCGATTTCTGATCAGTGTTGTTTTAGTTTGATGCAAGGTACCCCACCTATGGCAACTGTGACGCTAGCGCATATAAACCCTTGATCTTGAATCGATTATCTGCTCTCCTTTCTATCCAAATTCGAAAGTCACTGTTCACCATAAAAAAATTTTCTGTGTTTTCCCTCTGGGAGAACCTGTGACTTTCATAGATAGCACGTTGGGCACTGTCTGGTCGAAAAAACGGCTTCAACAGGGTTTGTAAGGGTTCAAAAACCGGCTCGACTGACGTACACGCCAATCTTTCCATGTCGCCAAGGTTGACATCAAGTGGTACCACATCCTTTTAAGAAGGCGAATTATTGATTAACTCATGGGCCCTATCGCAAGATCGAGAATCGAGCGCATACCCCCACGATTTCGAATGGATATCTAGCGTAGTAGAGTTGTCGGACACCTAAAGCGTCCTATCTTTGAACACACTCAAACTACAAATACATAGTAGTAACCAAACACTTGGTATCGTCCCAGTGATTGCCACGTTGCGAGGATTTCTTTCAATAGCAGAGGCGAGGGATCTTTGGTCTGCGCGAAAAACCAACATTCGATTTTTTGGTTTTTGTTGAAAGAATGTTCGAAACTATTTCTTTTAAAGTCAAGTGTACCATTAGTCGATGCTCGTAAATCTCTATAAGGCCACACTTGGGAAGTTACTATTCCGGAATGCTTCAGTTTCAAACAGCCGGCATAACTTGTTAATTATATCACCTTTAATTTCTTTACAAAAATAAGCTACACAGACAACGCATATTGTTCGATTGTCATGAGAAATGCCGTTGAATTGTACATGGAACCATCTTCGATGAGAACTTTATTTTGCTCCTGTTTCCTTGTTTGTGCTTCAATGACCGAACTCTCAGTTCTTTTAAGGCAGCAGCAATACCCATGATTGGCGCACGGCTGAGGGAAGGAAAGGATGCAAGGCTGGCATTTTGCCAAGTTGCCTTGCCCAGTGGCTACCCATGCTTACTCGATTCACGCTGATAGGTGGCTGCGCGGGCTATTTCGTAACCTGCGCCGATAGGCATCTTTCATAGTCCACGACCGGTCGCNCGTGGACGGTCCCGCGCGATCAGTCAAGTGACCAGTCGAGCGACCAGTCGCTAGCGACTGGCGACCAGTCGCGCGATCGGTCGCGCGACCGGTCGTGGACTATGAAAGATGCCATACCTGCTGTCGAAGGCTTGGAAATCGGGTAGTGAAATGAGAATGAAAACAGGAGAAAAAGCAAAATTCTCGACGAGGGGCGATCTGTATATCATCCAATAACATTTCTTACTGAGAGTCGAACTGCATCCATTTCAATCGCATTGCATAACTGTTTGTTAAGGAAACTGAATGCGATCAAATCCCAAGGCATGCCGCTTACGGAGTTCGGAGCTACATAACAGAGGAAACATTGGCCTGAAAGGAAGGCGATCACAAAATTCATGCACAACTGTTACTGTAGGTCGGGATCGTCTAATGACCTCATCACTAACTTCTCAGAATAGAGCATCTCTTCACACACTTCACTTTCACATTCGTGCTCTCCACTGTTCTGTGCTAAAACCCTCGACGACCGTGTGCAATTGACGTATCCATCCAGGCTGCAAAATACACCACCACACTTGTGGTCACTGGGGTTAGGAATCGTGGAAACACAGCTAGCCAAAAATAATGGCATTTTGTCAGGTAATCGGCTCCTATCCTTTGTCGTGCTGTACAAAGGTACAATCGCGTGAATTGTTCTTACCTTCGAGGGCTCTAATGGTCGGCCACTAAATTACAGTACTGAAGACGGAAATAAACGCTTGCAGTTCGACTTCCAATAAGAAATGTTACTCAAAGATATAGGAATCGTTCTTCGACGTTCTTCCTTATTTTCACATTCATACTACTTCACCTTCCATAGCCTGATCCACATGCCTCGGACGGCAGGTATCGGCACAGGTTACGAAATCGCTCACATCACTGAGGGCCACTGACGCCGGAAATCGAGAAATAGAGCTAGCCACTGTATCTGGCATTTTGCCAAGCTGCTGGCTCCTCCCTTTCTCCCCCTGTACCATGCGACAATCGTGGGTATCGCTTACCCTATAANTGTATCAATCAGTAGCATTTCTTATAAGGAATCGAACAGTGTATAATACATTTGCGTAGTTTGGAATGGTTAGGATCATACCACGAGGGTATGGCGAGCACTGTTGGGGCCACATAGGCGAGCAAATTATGACTTGGAATCAAATCATTCACAAATTCTGCATAACTCTCTGTAGTCCGTTATCGTCTAACCACTTCATAACTAACTTCTCTGAATAAGACAGAACGCTTGGAAAGCTTCTCAAACAAGTGTTGGAAAAAATTGTTTTTAAGTTCATAATTTCTTTCCGAACAACCCAGTATATTTAGTCTGATCTTCATATAAATGATATATGTCTATGTATAAATCCCTATCCGGATGTCAAACACGATGTCATTGAAAAGAAAATGACGTACATCCCTTCGAACACGACAGCATGGGAGGGGGAGTACATAATTGAAATCAATCTAAAGTACTCTAATCAGGCAAGTATAATTTGTGAGGAGTTTCTCCCAAAAATTTTCGTCGTATTTTTTTGCCGATCCCTCATTTCGTAAACGCGATTCTTTTCTCAACCGATGGCATCGGGCATCGATGGCAGAGATCAATGGAGCTCATAGTGCGGACATGCCTTTAGGTGATCTGAAGATCAAGGGAAAAGCACCTTTTGGAATTTGACAATAAATGTTTCATATACTTGTAGTGCTTTTGACGCTGATTCCGAATATATAGATCAATCTCGAAATGGTCAACTTTGCGAGGGGAAATGGAGTAGCTTCGGTCATACGGTACAACATGGACACATTCAAAATCAATACAAAGACCCTCTACAGTTACAGCTATACATCTACAGTTTGTTGAGATATGTACAGTCTGCTCTTTAGAAATTTACTAGCATAATTTGTGTGGGTGCAAATAGAGTTGTCATTCGGATCCTAATTAGAACAGTGATGATACTTTTTATTGGTTATGCTATCGTTTTTGGAATGTATGCAGTGCTGATCGCCTATTAAGTTGACTCGGTCTAGGAGACAAGTACAGTCCGTCCCCGTCTGGATGCTTCCACCTCCAGACCAGGGCTTCATCGAAGGATTTGCGCCAGTCTTAACAGCATAGCATTGCTAGCCTTTTATCCCCTCCCCTCCCCTACCCACAGACCCAGTGCTGCGCTACTGTGGACGGTGCGATCCTTCAAAGGTGCTTTAACTGCTTTAACAAGAAGCATACCCTTAATTACATTCAAGAGTCTTTTAACAAGAGCCTTTTTCCCTTCTGAGAGCTCATGACGGTGTAAAAAAGCGTCCTGTGTCTCGAGTTTACGCACATATCACATTGTAACAGTACTACACTGCGGCGGTAGCAAAGCATAGTCATACGTTTGGACGGATATTCCATTTTATTCTGAAAAGTTAGTTATGGAGTCGATAGAGGATATCCGGTCTGCAGAAATTGCTCTACAAGTATATCTTGGGCCCCTAGATTAGATACTACGGTTTTCTCCGTTATGTGGCCACAAAAACCAGAACGCCGCAACCCTCATGATTCGGCCTCCTTTTATTATAGTTCCCTTTTAAGCTAAGCTATACTGCTTCCCCATGAGAATCCTGATAACCCTGATAAATTATGCATGGATCACTCTTTGATGACAACTTTATTTTATTTCTGTTTCCATGTCTGACTTCAGTGGCCATATTCCTAGTTTTTATACGAAATCAGCGTTGCTGATGAAAGGGGCACGGGGCAGAGAGAGAAAGGGAAGGAGAAAAACTTAGCAAAATGCCAGATCTACTAACCGTACTTCCTCGATTCCTGGCGCCAGCGGCCGCCATTGAGGTGAGCGATTTTGTAACCTGCACCGATACCTGCCATCCAAGGCATGAGAATCTGGTTGTGAAGTAGAATAATTGAAAAAACAGAGAAAAAACAAATCTCTCATTGAGGAACCATCGGTATAGCATTCATAACATTCAATACTGGAAGTCGAACTGTACACATTTCAGTCATGTAATTTGATTTGATAAAAAAGGTGATCAAATCCAAGGGCATGCCGCGTTGGATATCTAGAGCTAAATAACAGAGGAAATGTAGCATGAAACTAAGTCGGCCAAATTCCTGCACAATTAGTGTAGTAGTACAGGATCGTTTATCGACTTCATAACAGACTTCTCGGAGTAGACAGAACTCTTTTCCAAACATTCCAGAAAGGGCAGTGCTACAACGCTGAAAACGGGAAGAAATACGCACAGTTAGACTCCCTGTGGAAAATGTTATCGCATGAAGCATAGGTCGCCTCTCGAGAAAACTTTGTTTCACCTAATTTTCCCATTCATCCTACCCTTCCAGCCTGGTTCTCATTCTTGGGAAAGCAGATATCGGCACAGGTTACGAAGTAGCTCACCGCACTGGCGGAACTGGCGGAACTGGCGGCACTGGCGCCAGGAATCGAGAAAGCACGGTTGACCGCTGTTTTTGGCATTTTGCCAAGCTGCCAGCTCCCCCTTCCTTGCCCTGTGCCGTGCGCCAATCATGGGCGTCGATGCTGCCGTGAAAGAATTGAGGATTTGGTCACTGAAGTACAAAGATGGAAACGGGAAGAACATAAAATTATCATCAAAGAGACTGATCCATGTGTCAATTAAGAGTATTTCTTATGGGGAATCAAACTAACTAGTCTGCAGCTGCGTAGTCTGGACTGGTACTAATACGGACGGTGTGCTCTCATTGATCATTGCAGCGCCATAGCAGTTCGAGATCCCTCCTTAGCTAGCATCCACTCATCAACCCTGGGCATATTTCATTGATTTTGACTTCGTGATATTCTTTTCAGCAGAAGCATTCACCAACTTTTTTCATTTAGGTTTGTTAGGTACCGCTTATGCAGTCAACATCAGTGATGATCTCAGGCCGGTATTTGTCACAGCATTTTCTCAGTCACATTTTATGGAGGGCAAAAGACTGGTAAGTTGTCAATTAAAAGACGGAGTGCTTCTAGCTATGGCAAATTAAAATTAGTTCTGTTAATTACCTCACTGTGGCCCTCTACCTGTTCTCTACCTGCAGCAGTTTCCCAAAAAGTCTTACGAATTAACCGTTTTTACGGCTCAATTTTAGATCGCAAGTATCAGGAAATTCCATAAAACGGCCATTGTCATTGTGTATGATCTCGGTCTCTCCCTGAAAGGTGCTGTACGAGTGAAGCGATGGTGTCAAGTGGTATATAGGCGATTTCGTTTCGAAGACTATCCTCCTTACTTCGAGCAGTTACACACATTCCGATGGAAACCAGTTGTAATAGCGGTCAGTTCTCAGCCTTAGTTCAATCTAATCTGTCTTAATTTTCGTCCATTAAATGTTTCGTTGGTAAGGTATTTGAGCTACTGAAAGAATGAATAGCATCAGAAACTCTAAAAATAGTTTGCACAAATTAAAGAGATAATGATAAGTATTTCTCATTGTAACAGAACTACCCCAATCCGTCACAGAAACGAAAACGTGGTACGAGCACTCGGCTCTTATAGCAATCGGGCCATGGGTCCTAGCTGGTCATGAGGCCGTGATGGCATGCAGCCTCCTATCACCCACTAGCTCGCATCGCGTTCTTGCCAAAGATCCCATTTGAATGGGCCGCTATGTGACGGATTAAAAATTTTTGTATTCAAATTAGGTGATCCCATGAAATTCAATGTTTGTGTTGTCTGAGAATTCTGTTATCATTGGGTATAGGTGATTTTATTTCCCCATAAGGTCCCTGTGAGAATCGAGTGCATTAAGGTATTTGGTTTCAGGAAGCACTCAGGGACTATGGAGCTATATGGTACATGGATACCTCTATAATTCTTGAAAAGGGTGACCTTCGACACGTGCAGGCATTAGTAACATGCAGAGCGAAACCTCCTATCAGGTTCGCATTTTGTTCTTGATTGCTGATCGAATAGTTCGGTTTGTACAGAAGCTCGATTACCGTTTAGGAATTACAGATTCAATAACTACAGGTTATGGTACTCATGAAGTAGTTTGATAAACATAGTTGTTCTGAGCTGCAGCTATTTTGCAGTTTCCCGATCTTGACCACTGAGCAACGTGATATACGGGAATCTCACTGGAATAGCTCTTCCGGATGGGATACCGTTCAGTGGACAGCGAATATAAATGAATGCAAAAAAGTTAGTTATGAAGAGTTCTCATAATTTCTAAAGTTGTCTGGAATTGTTTTCTGTTGTACTGATCTGATGTGGAAAGACAGAATATTTTTAGTCGACTTATTTGCTGCACAGCTTCACTGGCCATGGAATTTACGCTGCTACTGATCCCGGTCAGTTTAATATATTGTTATTTCTTAATAGGTCTACGGTGGCTTTTGCTTCGTTAACTAGTTTTTGTGGTCTCAGGGTGACATAGGGACAAGTAGCCTCGCTATCGAGAGCTCAAGGTCCCTCAGCGACGGGACTGGTGAAGGCGATGCTTTCTTTTTCAACAGCTTTTTTTTCAGCGCTATACTCATATTTCCCTGTATCAATTGAAGAACTGAAAAAGCCTAAAGCAAAAATGTACGAGGCAGGATTGGTGTTTGCTGTTAGAACACGTGAGACGGAGAATATTCTGAAATGGTGGGTCATGGGTAAGTCACTGAAACGCGCAGTGCTTGTATTGATTGGATGGTTAATCGCGCAACCCTGGCCATCCAGCCAATCAATACTGCCCGTGCGACCCTGGACCAAATTTCCAACAGTTCATTGAAACTCCATACTTTTAAGGAGTGTGCTCTGTGCACTGGAAGAGGATTGCATGGGTACGCGAATTGTTCCTAATGCATGCGAATTCAATAGGAGTGACTACTATACCTCATTTGCTCGCTGTCACAGGTAGACTATTAATTGAATTTATTGATTTCGCCGAAATGAATGCCATCACGACGAATCTCGAATTATCTACTGTTTTGCAGGTACGACCAGTCGGTGGTTAATGTTTTGTTAGCCGACTCTTATTATTACGATAGACACTACTATTCGAGCGAAATCACAGATTTCTTCCGTATTCAACGATTCCTAACGCGTTCAGTGGGAAATCGTGAACTGAAATGTGTATAGCTCAGTACTCAGTACTTAAGTTCTACTACTGGTAACATATGCGATTCTATTATATGTAACCCATAATATTTTATGTTGTTAGGTACTGTATTTCCAAAAGCTACATCACAGATTTCTATTGAGAATCTTTACTATATATATAAAGCGCTCGCGTCTGTTTGTTTGTTTGTTTGTTTATCACTAAATTCGATATTACCTTAATGTACACCTGGAAAGGTCGGGTCAAGTTTGAGATGGGTTGGGTATACGGCAAGATGAACATCAACATCAACATGCGAGCTCAGCCCATGGAAGGGAAGGGAGAATGCACAGAAGTGGGCGGTTGCTTGGGCAAAACTTCTTGATTCGATTTCATAAGTGTCCAGACGCCGGGCAAAAGCGATGGATGGGAGTGATATATGAGATATTGGTCAACAAATTATATGAAGGAGACCGACCCGTGTTAAGCAGAGCGTTCTCGATCTTCTTGCATAAACTCATAACCCACAACAGTCTATAACAAGATTCTTAAGGGTTGTAGATCAGATCAAAACATTCATTTTATTTGATGGCTTCCCTGTGCAAAAGGAGTTGCTCACTTTTTCGAACCAGATGACTTATCAATGGATTCACTAGTACGAGAGACAAAAGCTTGGCAATGAAAATTATTCAGTAGGGAGTACCAGCTGCATTCCCCAGCCTCCTGGCCGAAGTGTATCCTGAGATGGTTAAGTGGTGCCATATCCATTTGGATGAGTAAAAGGCCTTCCATATCTCCACGGTTGGCGCTGAATGGTACCGATCCATTCTGTAAAGGCGATATATTGATCAGTTCATCAGCAGGCGCACCCATGCCCTGGCCCGTGCAAAAATCGAGGAATCGACTGGATGCCACGATCGGGGAGTGCGCGATTGCCATCCAGCATGGGGCTGGTCGGACATGTAGAGCACTTGATCTTCAAAGCTTCGCAAAATATAAATGCGTAACAGTTACTAGAGACATGGTTTTATCAGGGGGTTCTTTCGGAAGAAATCTTCTGTTCATGAATGCGCATTTTTTCGTTTTAGCTATAAGTGATTCGAAGTGACCACGACCATTGGACTCAGCTCATCGAGTTCTACCTTACAACACTTAAAGATCTGGAGAAACGCTTCTTTGGAAGAGTTTGAGCTTAAGGTATATCCGTAAGTTTGAAGAGACAAGTCGACAGTTATTCCAGAATGCTTTATTGAAGCAGTAACGGACGATGGAGGCACCCATTTTCAAAACGATGACTACAACAACAACAGTGAATCTCACCCCTCTGAAAGCTCTTTATAGCCCGACTGTTCATATATTTTACGAAAATAGACTGATCATGGTACATTTCACACAATATGGTAAATAACTATCAGTTAGTTATCGACCGCCGGGAAATCAATGTTAACGCTGTTGGTCAGAGCGAGTAGCCGTACATTAGGATTTGGTTAAATTATTATTAATCTAGATACTTAATGCAAAGAAATTATTTACTTATTTATTTGTTTACGGTAGGATTTTCACCTTCCTTTGNNGTCTACTTTTACATAGTAATCCTTATGGTCTCAACAGCTATAGGGCTCTAGGGGATCTAAAGGAACCTGAGTTGTGACTAGACGTCATGTTGACAATTAAAAACTCAGAATCATGTTCCCTATCATTAATTGCCCAAAACGAAGTGAAAGCTTTACAAGTACAGTCTATTACTGCTATTCAACTAGTTAATTGAAGGTGTTGAGAGGATGTAGTAAATTACTAGGTCATTAACTGTTATTAAGCAGCAGTCCAAAATCGTTGTCAGGCTAGACCTTCCTTCCGTGGTGTCTGTCTGCTCGTAGCTGTGTCATTAGTTCAGACATATAGACTACCCTATTCCCAATAAAACTGAGATTTCCACGAATCTTCTGCACCATTGTTCACCACAATGTGCACGTGCGTTCAGGAAACATGGGTGATCCTCGTTGGCACTCGAACGTTTCAGCGAATTCTGGTTGATTTGAGAGTACGACGTTTACTCGATATCTATCCGGTGCATGGACGTCGTTGGCCAGTTTGTTCAGTAGAGTTGCTCGACGAGAGTTTCCACACCAGATCTGAACACAAAGACTAGTATCCTGTTCAAAAAGCTACGAGTCAATTCATTACTGTACTATCACATTCAATCAAGGAAGATCAATTTTTCTGAGGCCTTTATGTAGGGTTTGCAGAGCTTTGCTGTTCAATGCTCCTCTTATCGCCATAGTTACAGAAGAAACCTTTTTAGAAGGAACTTAATATTGCATCTTATACTGAATTAATAAGGCAGCCATTTGAGGCATTCTGATGAAACTAGCTGCAAAGGCACTCTCCATGGTTATTTGGTTCCACGAGCAGACTATTATAATTAACTTAGGCCGACTTTTGTAATTAACTTTGCCCAGTTGAAAGCATTAACATGTGCTCATTCGAAGGCGAAAAATGAGCGATCATGAAATAGGCCGGTTGGGGGCCTAAAAATGTTATCGATAGCTTGATGAATGAGCATAATGTCGACGAAGTAAAGGCAACAGCAACTCCCCATTGTAAGCTTCAAGCTTTACGATCCTGTCTCTAGTAGAGATAATGAGTGAGCCATGCTTGTGAACTAATGATAAATAGTGGTTTAAATAGTTCCAGGCAGTTCAAGAGGGAATACCAGATAGGAATTACTCACAAAGGCATAGTTCATGAAAAAGTAGTGCATTTGAGTGAAGTCTTCCAATCCTGCGATCGTAAATCGTTCCGATGAGCCTTTGGAAAGACGCAAGGCAGCCTAAATATTCAAATGAATTATAGCAGAACTGTCTTCATCGTGCTACAAATACAATGAGCAGTTATTGTTCCAAACAACACTAATTTTTATTATAGATTTATCAATCTCAAGTCATGTAATTATCATTAATGTTAGTTCTATATTCCTCAGTTATTATACTATCAAATTCAAAAAAATCTCACCCAGTCAAACCACTGTTTTGACCTACCCGAATTGCCGCGCGCATCCCTCCATTGTCTGCGATGTTCTCGCCTTCGGTTCGTCGTCCATCTATCTTAAATGCGATTACTTTCTCTTTCCTTGTACTAGTCATCATCTTCCTAAGTTGTATTGCTATTTTTTTAAAAAGTAAAGATATTCCTCCAAATTTCTTTACGCAACAAGGCGTGTTGTGGGCTCACAACTAGAATGACTATTTAACTCAAATAATATTTTTGTATAATCTTGAGACATTCGAAAAATTATGATCGGCGGAAGGTGCAAAGTAGTCGAGCAGTTTTTATTGTAGCCGCTCTAGTAAAGACCTGCCAGAAGCCACAGGTAGGCCTACATCTAGCGATTTCAGAAACCTCACCTGAACATTCAGATCACCGACTAAGATGTTGCCATATTGATGATCAAAGCATTCTTTTTTACGTTCGAAGTTCTTATACGTTGCCTCATCCCACCAGTTATTTTTGTTGCCGAACTCATCGTAGGAAGCGCCTACAATTGGAGCAAAAGTGAGAAATGAATTGAAAGTGGGCTTGGAGAAGAAAGCAGCAATCCCCAAGCTCTTCACTGCTTTTTTGTATGCGATCGCATGCGAAAATAATACTTTAATTTGGAATTAAATATCCTACCGCTGTCATCGAAGGCGTGGGTAATCTCGTGACCGGCAACGACTCCTATTGCAGCGTAGTTCAGTAGCCTGTGAATGGAAAACTCTTTTGAGAGCTCAAGGAGTGGTCCACCTTGAGTTTCTAGTCTTACAATTTTTCGATGGAAATGTAGTTGGGGAGTGGGACTACACTCGTCTGTAGCACTAAGAGTTACAGCTGAAGGGAAGAAGGGTGGCCTTCAATGCACGCCCGAAATGGTGCTATGAAACGCTACCTAGACGGGAGAATATAGTTTTTTCCTAAGGCTTAGGTGTTGTGGAGCACCGAGGTGGGGAAAGGGTAGTATCCTAGCACGTTACCGTTCTACTTTTGAATAAAAATGAATCAGCGCTCAACTAAATGTTTGACTCTTTCCACCACTTCAACTTTTAGCTTGAGTTAATCATCTCATCCACCTCGGTGCAGCTCCCATCCCTATGCATAGGTGAAGCTTAGTTGAAGAACTATATCCCCCTTCCCCGTGCTGAAACATTTCTAGTTTCAAGCAGCATTACAGATCCTCAAGGTCAGCTACTCTTTTTACGTTGTGCTCCAGCGCTTAGTGCTACGAGCGAAATATACCTTCCCCTTCCAACTACATTTTCACCGATTTTTATAAGTACCGAACAGAAATGGCCCAGAATACAATATTTCAACGGTAATTCGAGCGGACGCCCAGTGTAGGCCATTCGCGGCGATACGCACGCATGTCGCTCGCCCGCGCGATGCATTTGCACGGTGAAACTGTACCTTGGTAAGGAAGCGTTGAAAAATGGAGACTGTAGGATGCCGGCGGAAATGGCTGGAAAGAATACTTACCAGTATAGGACAGAATACCCAAAGTCAACTGCGAAAAACGCACCCATTTGGTTCTTGTTGCCGTCATAAAAAGCATTCACTTCCATTACTGAGGTGTCGAATGTATCTCGACTATTCACCTTATCCAATCTGAGAAATGCTCTTTCCTGCATCCACAGATGAATAGCCATCATGATATCATAGTAAGAAGTTGAGGATGTATAGGATAACTAAAAGAACTGGTTCAGCATTTGTAGGATTTAGAACCTTCCTTTTCAACCTGTTCAATTATTGACCTTATTTTTAAACACATCTGAGGTCGTTAATGTTGTTGATTTTACAATTATTTGGTCATGTGTAGTTTGTTGATCGGTATATTTTTGTCAGGCGCTTCTTCGTAATGGTTTAGAGACTCTGGAACTGCCGGCCAGGGTTCTCTCATCTCAGGGTAGGTCCCTTCGGTATCTCACTAAAAAGTCTCACTTAAAGGCATGCTTCCTATTTCTTATGGCTATTGAATTTTATTGCTTCTCTTGGAAAATGACCTTTTTTCTAGTCTCCCAGAGTGAAGCAATGCACCCTTCATTGTATCAATGAAAATGTAGATCTGAATGAAAAATAAGAATAACAATAAAAAATCCTGCCCACATGAGCGTATCGCTTCTTCCGCAATGTCTCGTTGAAAACGCCGCTATCGTAACCGATGAAGTCACGAATGGCGTTAGCCTAGAAAAACGATCGACAAACAAAACTGAAACAAATACATTGAAGGTTACTGAAAGAGGAACCGGAGTAAGCGACTTCCGGTTGCTCTTTTACTATTGACTACCACTGGAACAGCACAATTTAGTTCGAGGGAACCAGTCCGGCGTGCTCTCCTTATCTAACGCTGAGCACAGGAAAGGAAGGGCGACTTTGCGGGTCTGTAACGGGTTCTTAAGTGTTTCTCAACCAGGGAACAGAATTTTTGCGTAAGCCGAATAAGGGAAGGATCACGAGGGTGAGTGAGACGCTGAGATGCTGACCGCGGGAGAAAACTCCGACCAGGCCCTTCTACTAAGTCTCGTCGTTTCAACAGCCATATTTTATCAGTTGTAACAGAGCTTCCAATAGAAGTTAGTATAGTTGTAAAACAGGCGGAGCCACCAACCTTTTGTCGAGCCCTTTTCTTGGTATTTGGGTCCATCCACTCGTTTTTTATCAACATCTCCAGAAATGCCGCACGTACGTCTTTTACCAGTTCTTTCATGATTAAAACTGGAAAATTTCACCTTATTCGGAAGAAATTATTACTGAAACGTCTCATTATGCCTCTCTGTTGAACTAGTTACCGCTGTCAAAGTTGAAGTATCTTTCAAGGTAGTGTCGACCAGCGATATCATAGAAAGTGTTCATTGTAAGACTAACACAGTCGTCTGTTCGATCTATTCCTGTTACTCCGTAAACTTGCGATGTGAATTCCTTAAATTTAAACCTTCTTCAAGTTGTCCGCATACATGGATGAAAAAAATTAAAAAAATTAAAACAGCCAAAAGACTAAAAATTCGAAACTGTTCCAATATTTGCTTAACACAATTAAACTATTAAGAATGGCTAGAAAATTCTTCAAAGCAGTGAAGTAACTCGTCCAGAAAGTTGTTTCGAATTTCTTTTGATTTCTTTTTTGTTTTTTTTTTCAAGTCGAAACCATAAATAAAGAGTTGCTGGACCCAGGTGCATCAACATTAATTTCTATCGGATGCATGAAACTATGGAACTATGTGGCATTAATAAGATGATTGTTGAAGGAGCCCTAAAAGCCGAAAAAATAAGTTCACAGTGGAGCTGCTTCATTGCCTCCTAACGCCTCGTGCCCTCCAGTTTACAGTGAACTCCATTTCGTAAACTTTGCATTCAATTTCGCAAACGTTGCCTGTCAACTTACTAAATTCGATTTCGTAAATTTCTCAAGGTACGATCTGTCGTCAACCGTACAAGTAGCGCCAGGGCTTCGGATGACATTCCCATCTGCCATGCCGAGAACAGTTAGCGAGTGATTTACAACACGCCGAGGATAGGTGCCTTCATGTAACGCTTTTGCCAATTCCTTANAAGGCATCCGAATGGCCGTTTTAGTACTGGACAGTGCTCGATCCCACGAAGTTCAGAAAATGGTAGCTTAATCACTTTTTGGATGAGGTTGCTGACATTAACTGCTTTTTAAGTTGATTTTCGACTGTACAAATGAAACGGAAAATAAACATGAAACCAACATTAAATGAAGACATATCAACATACATAATGAGGTCAGGTTTACGAAATTGATTGCAAAATTTTCGAAATTGGTCGCTAACTTTACGAAACAGGGTTCACACTATGAAACTGATAACATAATTTACTGAATAGAATGGGAAAACTACGTAATCGGTTGTGATATATAAGAAATTGGTTGCAATGTTTACGAACTGAGGAGGTACTCCTTGAATTTGGATACTGGGTGGGCATGGGGGCGGGACCCTGAGAGATACCCTTAAAAAGTCGTTTGCCTTTTTTTATGCATAAAAGCAGGATTTCCTGAATATCAAACGATAAAGACGTCTATCACAATCATATTTCCACATGTTGATTACATGAACTAATAATTCGATTTTACCAAGTGATATACTAACTTCCATCAGAAGTTGGAAATTCTTCCCAAGGAAATCGCCATAGTGGAAAATGATCTGAAATTCAGAAAATTCCAAATGAATTTATTTTATGAACATGAATCAAAGAATGACCAGAACAAGTATCGATTCTAACGGTATTTCATCTAACGATTTTCTGTCTTGTCGTCACATATTGCTCCAACCTTCGAACTTTTACGACTTTTCCTTTTCCTTCCAAATTAAGTAGTTTTACCTTCCACTCGAGGTAGTCCGACAATGTCTGGTCATTTATGCTTAAAAGAAGATCCTCCAATCTTTGAATTGCGGCTAGTTTTGATATTCGAACAGGACGACTACCAACGGAATACCGTAATTGTGATGGAAGGAATGCAGTCGCGTAGCGAACCCAGTCTATCTGAAAGGAAA